CGCCGCACAGCCCCTGGGGGCCGGGTGCTGGTGTTGGTGCAGCTGCTGCTGGAGATGCAGCTGGTGAAGCTGGTGGAGCTGGTGCAGCTGGTGCCGGGCGGGAGGCTCGCGCGCCTCCGCGTCCCCACCGCCGCCAAGTTGGAGCGGGCCGAAGTCGGCCGCGCTGGCTGGCATGCCCGGCGCCGCGTACGCGAGGTGCTGGTGCTGGTGGTGGGGCGGCTGCTGCTGTTGCTGCTGCTGCTGCTGCTGCTGGCGCCGGTAGAGCTCGGCGTAGCGCTCGCTCAGGTAGAGCTGGCGCGCGTTGCGAAGCACGTAGGACACCAGGAGGTTCTTGTGCAGCTTGATGCCGCCGCGCTGGGTCCGGGAGCTGTGGATCTTGCGCAGGGAGATGCTGATCAGGCTCTGGGCGTCCAGGGCGCACTCCATGCTCCCGCGGAGACGGCGGCGGCAAAGCAGCCGCCGCCGCTGCTAAAGCTAATGCTGCTGCTGTTTCTGCTTCCAGCCGGCCTCTGGGGCGCGCTGGGCAAGGGGAACGGCGCCCGGGTCAGCGGGTCGGCTGCGCTCCCAGAGGCGCCGCCACCAAGCGCTGCGCGCCACCCGCGGGCTTATGCTCCCCAGACGGCGCCAAAGCAATGAGCCTGGGCCGGCCCCGGCCCCAGCTATTTAGCCGGGTGCGCGGGCCCCGCCCCACACCTGATGAGCCAATAGGAGTGCCAAGAGCCTCCCGAGTGACAGGCGCTGCCCGCCCCAGGGCCACCTGGCTGGCCAATCACAACAAGGCGGTTCCTTTGTGCTATTCAAATACAGAACGGACCCCGGGCAGCCAACGCCGCAGCTGCCTCGAATGTTCTCCTAGGGCCGCGGCGCCGCGCGGCACTCAGAGCCGCCGGTGCTGCCGCCTGCAACAAGGGTCGCCTCGCAGCAGCCACTTCGGAGCCCGCAGCCGCCCCAGGCCTGGCTCCTGGGAGCCAGGGGTCCGCTCACCTGTTTACCGCCGCGACTGGCTCCTCCCCCTTCCGCGCGACTGGGCCTCACCTGTCGCAGGTGCGCGCGGCTCCCTACTCCCGGCCTTAGGGCACCTCCTCTTTCTCACCTGCAGCCCCTCGGATGACCCGCGGGACCCAAGACCTTTGCAGGAGGCTGGTGGGGCCGCCGGCTTGACGCTGGAGGCCCCTCGAGGGAGACAGGTTTGGGAGTGCCCTCAGCATCGGAGAATGTTGGATCTGACTCCCTAAGTTTTCGAATGAGGGGCCTCAGAGAATTCTCGAGAAGAGCTGTGCTCCCATTTGTCCTACGGGAAAAGTCAAAACATCATGACTGTTGGTCTCCTTTGGTGGGAAGGCTCTGAGGCGTGCCTCAGGGAGTCTATGGGCTCTGCAGACAACTGAGGCCTAAAGGCGTTTTGAAAGTTGAACACTGAGTTTCCTAATCACCAGTTCTGTAACCTTTCCTTTCCAGCCTAACTAATAATAAAGACAATAGGTACTATTATGTGCCTCGTATGGGGCAGGCTCCTGCCTCAAATACCTTGAATTCCTCACAAAAACCGTTTTGCAGAAGAGGAGCCTGAGGCTCGGAGAAGCTGGTGACCCTTAGAGAGTCACACAGCTCCTAGTGGCAGAGCTAGCTTTGCACCAGGTCTGTGAGCTCCAGAGGGGATGTGAATACCAAGGGCAGAGGAACTCACCCATTTAACTTTTGTTGACACTGTTTGAATGGTTTCTTATCCTGAACCATTCTTGGGCCACCTCCTTCCAGCTGGGGACTGAGACCATAGGAACAGAGAGGGACAAGGTTGCTGATGCCCGGGACTCTATCTGGAGTGGGAGGCCCGAAGGGGGTGAGTGCTGCTCTGGGAGGGGGGTGTCCAGGGCACCCGGGGTGGGGGCTGCACAGGCAGCTCCAGAGGCTCCTCTAGTGATCAGCAGGTTTACCTGGAAAGGCAGTTCTTGAGTTGTTCCTCGAGGGACACACAGACTTCACAGGGACTATGAGAGATCAGCCAGGGAGCCTTGTATGGGATGAGGCAGGGGGAGGCATGAGAGCAGACTTCCTACTATTTCACCCCCTCCTCAGGGTTTCCTCTGAGCCTCATTCCATTCCTCTGGCTGTTCTCCTCAGCTCCTGATTTGTCCCTTAGCGGGACTGGGTCTCCCTCTAGCCTCAAGAATTCTCAAGATTTGTTTCCTCAAACAATTTTTTCAGCATCTTCTCAGTGCCAGGCATTGTTGGGGGACAGTCACCCCATTTTTCAGACGAGGAAACTTGGATGCTGACAAGTTAAGTGATGTTTCCAAGGTCACAGAACTCCATGTCCATGTCCAGTACTCTGTCCTTCCCTAAGAAGAATCTCAAACTGGTTCGAGCCCCCGTGACCAATAACATTTCTCCCTGCCCCCACCCAGAGAAGCCAGGTGGAATTCAGAAAAGAGCATCTCACTTTGATTCTATTGGTGATCTTGTGATGTTGTTGTCGGGTGCCATCCAGTCAATTCTGATTCCTAGCGACCCCATGTGATAGGGATACACAAACCAAAACCAAAACCAAATCCTTTGCCATCAAGTTGATTCTGACTCATAGCAACACCAAGTATTACAGTGTAGAACTGCTCCATAGGGTTTTCTTGGCTGTAATCATTACAGAAGCAGATCACCAGGGCTTTCTTCCAAGGTGCTGCCATGTGGGTTGGAACCACCAACCTTTAGGTTAATAAAACCAAACCAAACCAAACCCATTGCCATCGAGTCAATTCTGACTCATAACGACCCTACAGGACCGATTAGAACTGCCTGATAGGGTTTCCAAGGAGTGGCTGGTGGATTTGAACAGCTGACCTTTTGGTTAGCAGCTGTAGCTCTTAACCACTGCTCCACAGTCATGTGCAAAGCATTTGCGCCACTCAGGGACACACGGGGCTGTGGAATTTGCTCATGTAATAACACCTGTATGAATAAAAATATACTGCCCCTTACTTCTCCTTAGGATCTGTCTTAAGACACGCAGAGGTTTCATTTACTTATTTCTGAAGTTCACCTTGAAGATATCACTAGCATGTGCGGGGAAGTGGGAGGTCTTTCCAGCTGTGAGGACTCAGTTGCAACAGTCCAGCCTGGGAGTCACAGTGTCTGGCACATTGCAAGCACCCAAGAATGTATTATTAATGCTTATTTCAGGCCTTCCTCCTGTCCTTGCCCAGTATTTACCACTCAGAGAGTTTTTGTGTCTTTCTTAAGGTCTCACAGCCAGGAAGGAGTGGAGTCAGGATTTGAACTCAGATCTGTCTGTTTCTAGGTTCTTTGAAATCAACCACTTGTTTCCCCAGTTGGTGGTGCTGAGTCCAGTTCTCAGGGCCCAGCTTACGGTGAACTTGACCCTAATTTGATTAACACCCATCACTTTCCTGCTAACTGCTCTGAGGCCACGGCCTGCAGGAGTCCGTAAAGAGGCACATATCAGACCCAATCTCAGCTTAGTCACAGAGCTGTCTATAGCCCTTCTCGGAGCTGTGCTCCATAATACGATTCTGGGGGTCCAGATGGGGATCAGGGTGGGATGGAAGTGGATTCCAAGACACAGGCTGGTGGGCAGGGAAGCTAGGCCCCTCCCCTGGCCGTTCCTCATGGCACCTCCCAGCCCCCCACTCAGCCTCTGCCACGAGGTAAGTTTTGAGCTCTGCTAAGGCCTCTTCCTCCAGGGGTGGTGCCAATGGTTAATGTGCTTGGATGCTAACCATTTGAAGATTGAGGGTTCGAGTCTACCCAGAAATACCTCGGAAAAAAGGCCTGGTGATCTACTTCTGAAAAATCAGCCATTGAAAACCCTATGGAGCACAGTCAAACTCTGACACACATGAGGTTGCCATGAGTCAGAGTTGACTCGTTGGCAATCGGTTTTTAAGGCCCCTTCATCCCCTGGGGCCAGCCAAGAAGTGATCAGTCCCATCCACGTGGCCCCCTTGTCTGGCCTTCTTTTCTCAGGCCGCACTCTCTTGGCCTTCCCTCCTTCCCAAGAATCGAGGGGTGGGCTAGTGCAGAGGCCTCAGCAGTTGTCTAGCTTAATAAAAACCCTTGATCTTTTTTGGGGTGGCCTGGGAGGGCCACAGCTGTTGTAAGAAAACACTTGCTGAAGGAGGCAAAGAAACAGCTGAGCTACGTGGTGCCCCAGGGAGCAGTGTGGCTTATGGGGCACGTAGTAGGAATTCACAAGTGTTTCTGGAATGGGTGAGTGACACACAAGGCTTCTGTTCGAATGTACAAAGACTTAGGTAGACTGTCCAGGGCGGTGAGTATGATCTTGTGTGTGAGTATCTGCACGCACATGTTGGGGGAGGCGGAGCGGAGGGGGACAGGTCTGAGTGAGACAAGGCTTCTTGGGACGAAAGGCTGGCCTTATTTGTCTGGACACCTGAGAAAGATTGGAGCCCTTACCTTCCTCCCTCTGGGGAGATTACACTGGGCACTGAGTCACTGCTCCCTGGAGGAAGTTAATTAATGCCTAAATATTTATCTAGTGTTTGCTCAGGCAGCACAGAGCACGACTGGAGTCGCTTGGGACTGGGCTCCCGTCAAACCCAGGTGGTGTCAGGTCCATACCAGAACAGTTACCATCTTGCTGTTTGGGACAGTGCCACATACATCTCACGGACACCGGTCACTCCAGTTCGGAGGAAGGCTCCACGGCTCAGAAAGATTTCTGAACAACACTGGGTTTTCTCCGGTGGTCCTCTAGGATTCTGGTTTGGCGAAGAGGGTGCAGAAGTAAAAGGCTCAACTGCGGCCTTGTATTGGGGTGAGGGGATTAGGCGGGAGAGATTTGGAATTCACCCATTCATTCACTTGTTCATTTGCCTAAGAGATATTTCCAGAACCCTATACCAGAGTCCCTGAGCGTATTTAGGGAACAGGATGTGATCCTGCCTTCAGGAGGCCTCGACTCAGAAGGAACCAGACAGGATTAATCGACCAGACAGTAAAGGGTGATAAGTCTGTGACAGGAAGAAGAATAGGGCTGGGGTAAGACAGAGGAGGGGCCCCAAAGCTGGTCTGGGAAGGCTTCTTGTGGGAAGCTGACTCTTAGAGGCCAAGGAGGGGAGGGCCTTCCAGACCCTCTGTGACTAAGCTGAGGTTAGGTCTGAAGGCTCAGCACAGAGCCTGGCACACAGTAGGTGCACAGTAAGTGCTTGTGGAATAAGTAGATAAGTATGTAGAAGGCAGAGGTGTCATCACTGTTAGAGTTGGAAGGGACCTAGAGACCAGGCTACCCCCACCCACCATTTCCAGATTGGTAAACTGGTGGTGCAAACGGTTAAGTGCTCGACTACTAGTCGAAAAGTTGATGGTTCAAACGCCTTGGAAAACAGGCCTGGCGATCTGCTTCCGAAAAGTCACCTCCTTGAAAACCCTATTGAGCAGTTCTACTTTGCACACATGGGGTCGCCATGACTTGGAATCCACTTGATGGCAACTAACATTAACAAACTGAGGTCCAGCGAGGATAAGGGGTTTGCTCAGGGAGCTGGCTCCAAGCTGGGGCTGGAACCCAGGTGACCCGCCTCCCAGTCCAGCCTCTAGCTGCCTCAGTGCGCTGTCCTTGTGGTTTAGAGCACAGGC